TTTGGCATAATATCTGATGAGCAATAACATAATATAATATCTGGTATCTTTCGGGACCCCCTATATCACCCCCTTCGTCGTGAATCACAAAGTTGTTCTGTTGAAAGTCCGATCGTCAGTTAACTAGTTTGACCCTTTGCGCACGCTAGCAAAACAGTTTCATGAAGGGGTCTGCTAACGTCACAATTATGGCATGGGTGGCGGCGGTCAGAGTCTCGATTTTCGGTAGTGGATATAACCCTCCCCCTTTGGAATGAGAATCTTTCGAGGAATCGAATCAGCAGTTAGTTGTTATATGTGTATGGGCTATCCTGTCAGCTGTATTTGCTACCACAAGTTGAAGTTCACACAAATTAGCTGACTGCGCGAGATTTTCTTCCCATTCTGAGTTAACGTTTACATGGAACTCCCAACGCTCTGGTCAGCGAAGCTCCCATACATCATCATCATCATCAAAAGCAGCTGCATTTAGCAGTCAATATCGGTTAACAGTTAGCCGCATTGCCTTTTCATCCGGGGAAATTATGCGCATTCTTGTTCGGTTAGTAGAAGAAGAGGCATGATACTAGGAACTCCCAGGAATACAGGTGGGCTTGCGCTACATCCCATAGAGGGTATCTGCTCTCGTGTTCTAAGTCTAAACTTAGGTCCTACCGAGACGTTATTACTGAATTTAACCCCAATCCTAGCCTTACCTCCAACCATAATCGCCCTGAAGATAAGTCCAGTTCTTTCTATAGTATGGGGTCCTATTCTCATGTTTAAGCTTATCTCTAATCTCTTTAACCTAATGTAGCCATTTTAACATCAGTGGTCAATGCTGTGCAAACCAACTCTACGCCCTCGGGGTATTTTGCGGTCATCGGTGTTCAATCAACTAGAAATTGTATGATTTAACCCTCGGCTCTTTTCCATATTGATGCATCTCACCAGACACAGCATGTATTTCTTGGGTGCCAATTACACAAACGCTGGCTGCAGAGCCCTTTTCAATACACCATGTTTTTCTGTAGCTTTTGTGCGCATACCCTTGGCTTCACTCTTAAACCTAAACCTGCGCCTTGTTTATCCAAAGTCTGCATCCTATAAACCACCAACTCTCAACAGAAGGGTTAAGCGCTAACCCGCCAGACTGTTTACCGCATACACTTGGGGCTGCGTGCGGCTTTGAACTCGTTGTGCTGAG